CTCCTGATACAAGATTTTTGATCTAACCTAACTAGCACGCTAACCTAACCTCACTAAAATTTTGTTTTAACCTTCAATCTCTTCGCACATTATATTCTCTTGATACAAGATTTCTGGGCTAACCTAACTACCACCCTAACCTAACCTCACTAATAATTTACCCTTACCTACAATCTCCTCGCATATCATATTCTCCTGATACAAGATTTCTGCGCTAACCTAACTACTACCCTAACCTTTGAAATAATTCTGACAGAGCTAGAAAAAGACCTCTTCGTATATTATGTTCTCCTAGTAGCACGACACCTTTTGCATAACTTTGTCGACAAGTAACAGGTGTATTAGGGACTGAAAGGCTTCCTCTCACGTTATATCTTCGATACCTACCAAATTTGTAAGTATTTTCGGCAAATTGCGAAGGGCCAGGTGCTTATGCGCCACAAACAATTAATGAACCGTAATCTTCCTATCAGTTTTGTTATTGGGGAGGAAAATAAAGTACAACTTCTGTAAATAGTTCTTGTATTGAAAACTGTACAAACAAAATAAAAGCATATTCTGTGAGTGAATCTTCAGAGCAAATGCAGCCGATGGTTGCAGAGTGGGATCGACGGCGGTCTTTAGCGATGTGGCAGTTTCTTATGACGTTGAATAAGGCGACGAAGGCGATAATATTAATCTCAGATGCTCTCAAAAGCGGCGGCGATCTATTTTCACAGAACATCTCTTTTTCAAGGCCTATTTCTATCTGAAGTGCACTTATGCGTGCGCACACAGGATAGGTAGGGGATGGGAAATTGGCGGTAGTTTCAGTTTAATCGAAAATGTTAATCTGAGGTGCGAAAGGAGAAAAGGCGCGGTCAGAAAAGTTTTAGAAGACGTAGCCAGAAAATCTTAAGCGGCTAAGAAAAAAAGGCATGGCCAGAAGAGTTTTGGAAGGCGCCCAGAAAATTAGGACGTGGCCAGAAGGGCTTTAGAAAGCGCCTAAGGGAAGACCATCCTAGTGATAGACACACACACACCCTGTCTTCTTCTACTGGACATTCTGTAGCTTGAGCCTATTCAATATCGTCGAAGTAATTACAAAGCTTCGAGGTCAACGAGGGGCTCCTCTAATGGTTCACCGAGGCCGTATTGTACTCGTCCATCATGTTTTGAAACGACACTGAGCTCAGGATGTAAACCCGACTCTCTCAAAAGTCTTTCAACGCCTTACTTTGTCTTGAACTTTTACAAAAATTGTATCATGTAGGAGACTGAAGTATAGAATTAAATATTAGTGAGATTAGGTTAGCATGCTAGTTAGGTTAGCTCAGAAATCTAACGCTAACCTAACCTCACTTAAATTTTATTTTAACCTTCGATGTCCTCGCACATTATATTCTCCTGTTACAAGATTTCTGAGCTAACCAAACTAGCACGCTAACCTTAACCTCACTTAAATTTTATTTTAACCTTCGATCTCCTCGCACATTATATTCTCCTGTTACAAGATTTTTGAGCTAACCTAACTAGCACGCTAACCTAACCTCACTTAAATTTTATTTTAACCTTCGATCTCCTCACACATTATATTCTCCTGTTACAAGATTTTTGAGCTAACCTAACTAGCACGCTAGCCTAACCTCACTTAAATTTTATTTTAACCTTCGATCTCCTCGCACATTATATTCTCCTGTTACAAGATTTTTAAGCTAACCTAACTAGCACGCTAACCTAACCACACTTAAATTATATTTTAGCCTTCGATCTCCTCGTACATTATATTCTCCTGATACAAGATTTCTGAGCTAACCTAACTAGCACGCTAACCTAACCTCACTTAAATTATATTTTAACCTTCGATCTCCTCGCACATTATATTCTCCTGATACAAAATTTCTGAGCTAACCTAACTAGCACGCTAACCTAACCTCACTTAAATTTTATTTTAACCTTCGATCTCCTCGCACATTATATTCTCCTGATACCAGATTTCTGAGGTAACCTAACTAGCACGCTAACCTAACCTCACTTAAATTTTATTTTAACCTTCGATCTCCTCGCACATTATATTCTCCTGATACAAGATTTCTGAGCTAACCTAACTAGCACGCTAACCTAACCTCATTTAATACTAAAACTAGGAGAACAGAATGCACGAAGAGGTCGTTTTCTATCACGCTGAGAAATATTTCAAAGTTTAATTTCGCCTAAAATATTTTCAATTCTGTATCAGGATCATATGATGTGCGAGGAGGTGTTTCTTTTCCTAATACTACACCTGTTACTTGTCGACAAACTTATGCAAAAGGCGTCGTGCTACTAGGAGAACATAATATACGAAGAGGTCTTTTTCTATCTCTGTCAGAATTATTTCAAAGTTTTCATTCGATTTCAAAGTTTGCCAATTATTATCAGGATCATATGAGTGCGAGGAGGTGTTTCTTTTCCTAATACTACACCTGTTACTTGTCGACAATCTTATGCAAAAGGTGTCGTGCTACTAGGAGAACATAATATACGAAGAGGTTTTTTTCTAGATCTGTCAGAATTATTTCAAAGCTTTCATTCGATTTCAAAGTTTGCCAATTATTATCAGGATCATATGAGTGCGAGGAGGTGTTTCTTTTCCTAATACTACACCTGTTACTTGTCGACAAACTTATGCAAAAGGCGTCGTGCTACTAGGAGAACATAATATACGAAGAGGTCTTTTTCTAGCTCTATCAGAATTATTTCAAAGCTTTCATTCGATTTCAAAGTTTGCCAATTCTGTATCAGGATCATATGAGTGCGAGGAGGTGTTTCTTTTCCTAATACTACACCTTTTACTTGTCGACAATCTTTTGCAAAAGGTGTCGTGCTACCAGGAGAACATAATATACGAAGAGGTCTTTTTTCTAGCTCTGTCAGAATTATTTTCAAAACTTTCATTCGCTTAAAAACTTTGCCAATTCTGTATCAGGATCATATGAGTGCGAGGAGGTGATTTTTTTCCTAATACTACACCTGTTACTTGTCGACAATCTTTTGCAAAAGGTGTCGTGCTACTAGGAGAACATAATATACGAAGAGGTCTTTTTCTAGCTCTGTCAGAAT